AGGAACCCAACTTGCTTTATAGCCAGGTGCAAACATTTTACAATTTAACCAAATGTTTGTGAAGCATTTTCCCATGCCTCATCTCATTTGATCCTCACAGAAGTCCTGGAGTAGGTAGATAGGAGACTTGGTAGAATCCTATTTTCTTTTCATTAGCAAGACGCAAATAGCGACATTAAAGTATTTCTTCTAATTAATTTCCTTTCAATGTGCATGAATCTGTGCACCAGGACACTAGTTTAAAATACTAGTCTAAATGTCCTTATACTAATGTTCTGGCATTAGAAAGAGTAGTTTATATTGTCAGCAATAATCTTGTGATGATTTTTAAAAACTAACCCACAGATTATTTTTTTAAATTTATCTTTATTGTTGAAAGTATTATAGATGTCCTCCTTTCACCACCTCCCGCCATTGACCCCCATCCTCTCCACTCCCTTCCCCTCCCCAGGTCTTTGCCCCACTACTGTCTGTGTCCACGAACCCCACAGATTATTAGTAGTAAAGGTCTTATTTGCATTATCTGAGGCTCACTTAATACTGTTTTAATTAGTGATAATCATAACTCATAACTAACTTCTGCTGAGCATTTGTACTGGCCTAAATACTTTATATGTACTGTTTACTAAAAATTTTACACTAACCCTGAGGGAGATAATAACTTTTCCATTTTATGCTTGGGGAAACTGAGATACAGCAAGATCAAATCACTTGTTTCTGGTCACAGAGCCAGTAAATTGCAGGCCCAGAATTGTAACTCATGTCTTTCTGGTTTCAAAGCCTGTGTATTTCTCAGTGCCACACTACCTGTGTTCATAATCAAGATAGAGGGTATTAGGTAAATAAATGGTTCTCTTTCACTGTTGGTTCTCCAGTTGTGTACTGGTGTTCTATATTTTTGACATATGTTTCAACAGAACTTGAAAAGGGACTCTTTTGGTTCCAATAGGAAAAATGTTATTAGTGAGTAAAATTTTAAGTTTTCTTGTCACCAATTTTTTATAAGCCTATGGCCTACAATTAAATGTGTCCTGATTTAGTATGACATGGTATATTTAGATAAGACAGCAGTACAGGGGATAATGGTTCTGGTTAAGGATTCAAACTGACCGAATTCAAGTTTTGCTGCTTTTTAGTTGGATGACCTTGGTTTAACTTACTGAACTCTGAACACTTAGCATACTTCTGAACCAGGTAAGACTGCAATAAAAGTGAGGTATTATTTAGTTGGTGTTTTTGTTTTTAGTTTAACATATGATATTTCATGGTATTTCATATGATGATACCTAAGTCATGAGAAGTAGAAATAATTAGTATGTTCCTGATAGGTATGTGTAATATTTTTGTGTTTTTTTTTAATATATATTTTTATTGATTTCAGAGAGAAAGGGAAAGGGAAAGATAGAAACATCCTTTATAATAAAAGCCTAATATGCTAAGTGTGCAGTCGACCAGTCGGCTGTTCAACCAATCAAAGTGTAATATGCTAATGATATGCTAAGGCCGCTCAACCACTCCCTATGACGTGCACTGACAACCAGGGGGCAGAAAGTCAACTGGTTGACCAGTTGCTATGACGTGCAGTGACCACCAGGGGGCAGATGCTCCAACCAGTAGGTTAGCTTGCTGCTGGGGTCCGGCCAATCGGGACTGAGCGAGACGGACTGGACACGCCCTGGAGCCCTCCCATGGTCCTTCCCTGGCTGGCCAACCTCCTGTGTCCCTCCCTGGCCCCGATTATTCACTGGTGGGGTCCCTTGGCCTGGCCTGCACCCTCTCCCAATCTGGGACCCCTTGGGGGATGTTGGAGAGCCAGTTTCAGCCCAACCGCAGAACGACTGGTCACTATGATGCTCACTGACCACCAGGGGGCAGACACTCAATGCAGGAGTTGCCCCCTGGTGGTCAGTGCGCTCCCACAGAGGGAGCACCGCTCATCCAGAAGCCGGGCTCATGGCTGGTGAGTACAGCGGCAGTGGTGGGAGCCTCTCCTGCCTCCGCAGCAGTGCTAAGGAGTCCAACTGCTGGCTTAGGCCCGCACCCCGTGGGGAGCGGGCCTAAGACATCAGTCGGACATCCCCTGAGGTCTTCTGAACTGTGAGAGGGCACAGGCTGGGCTGAGGGCCCCCCCCCCACGAGTGCACGAATTTCGTGCACCGGGCCTCTAGTAAATGATAAGAGAGAAGCATTGATTGGCTGCCTGCTGCACAGCCCATACTGAGGATTGAACCCACAACTTGGGAATCTAACCATGACCTTTTATCCTGGTTCATATGTCGATGCCACACCAGCTGGGTTCATGTTAATCTACATTAACTTCTTTTTACTCTTTATCTGCATATATTATCAAATTAAAATACACTCACTAAATCTGTTCTTTGAATCCATGTCATGGATTCTATATGGAAAGCCGGTTGACTGTGAGATCCTGTGAATGGCTGGACCAGATAGACTTTCTCTGTCTGGTATGTTTTCTGGTACTTACAACTTGCAAGGCAGAAAAGAGAGATGATAATACTTTTTGAAAGTTGCATTCACTTACAAATTAGTTCTTAGTGAATTATAAGCAAAATTAGATCTTAATAATTATTTTATGGGCTATATTATTACAGACAAAACATAACTTCTGTGTCTGTTTTTTAGAGATTTTCCCCTTGCTTTGGATGTTGGTTGTGGAAGAGGTTACATAGCACAAAATTTGAATAAGGTATATTTATTATTTAATTTACTTTGAGAAATAAAATTGACTGATTTTAAGGAAAGAATTTCTTAATCAGTTATATTTGGATTATATCAGAATTGCTAATTTTTAAGTGGTTGAACTAATGGTTGTTTTGTGTCCCCTCTTAAGTATTTTTCCTTAAAGTTGTTTTTCTTTACTTTGAATCTATTTTATACAGTGCTCCCAATGATAGCTTTTTAAATGTATATAAGATATGTTGCTCTTTATTTCTACTTTGTGCATATGTTTTTAATAATTAAGTGGTTGTTGCGGCAGCAGTCTCAGGTGTTTACCTATGCCGCCATCTTGCTCGGATTCAGAATTGCTAATTTTTAAGTGGTTGAACTAATGGTTGTTTTGTGTCCCCTCTTAAGTATTTTTCCTTAAAGTTGTTTTTTTTTACTTTGAATCTATTTTATACAGTGCTCCCAATGATAGCTTTTTAAATGTATATAAGATATGTTGCTCTTTATTTCTACTTTGTGCATATGTTTTTAATAATTCTCAATAAAATCCAATTGACATTCATTTAAAGAATGTGATTAAGCTAATATTTTAGCTAGGAAATATATTAATTTCAGTGTGATAAGTATCCTTTATTAATGTTTATACTATTTTATTTTGCACTTTCTAATTCAACCATAAAGACATTTATTTATTGGTTTAATCCCTATATATAAGCCACTGATGGATATAGATTAAAGTGGGATTTTTATATAAAATCTACTTACAGTAGAAAAAAACATACACTTGAGTCAGGACACAGGTAGGGATATGTGTGAGGCTCCCCTGTTGTTGATAGTAGTAAATGCCACAGAAATGGTAGCATTATTAAACTGCAACAGGAGTTAAGGGAAAGAAAATATCAGTAAGGGTTCATGCGGTCAAAGACCTCTAAAAGGGTACAGAATCTGATTTGGGATTTAAAAGAAACTGAACTGGTGTTTTATAGGCATTGGAAGTAAAGGCATGGCAGGAGGAAAGGCACAGAGGTAGAATACTGTAGGGTGTGTTATAAGGATGTTTAAGGAAGATTAATTTTAGGATGGTATGCAAGAAGGATTGAAGAAGGAAGATGATAAGAAATAGACCAGTTAGAGGGCTGTGTTAAAGGCAGTCCAGACAGGAGAGTTAAAGACCTGCCACCTGTATGGAGGCTGCAAGATATACAGGAAGGTTTGTATGAAAGAGACCTAGTAGAATCCACAAAACTTGATTACCGATTAGATATGGTGGGCATGTCAAATCAATTCTTCCAGTTGCTCAGACTAAAAGACTTATTCATTGATTCCTCTTTTTAAAATATATTTAAAAAATCTTTATTGTTGAAAGCATTACATATGCCTCCCATTCCCCCACATTGACCTCTTCTATCCCTGGTGTTCATCAGTGCATGTGGCCCTGATATGAGTAACCTACACCCAGTGGTGTGCTGGAGTTAGCTCACACTTGCTCATGAGGGCTGATTGTTAGCATCTCTTCCCAACTCCGTGTTCAGTGACATCGTATTGATAGTTTGAAATCAGCCATTGTGGGAGTATTTGCACCATGGAAGTTGGCAAATGCTACCAAACAGTCCCCAACCAACAGCCAGTTATTAAGTATTTACCAGCACTCCACTGCTTCCACCCCAAGTCTACATGCTATTCCAGCTCTGGGGACTTCTACCTTGACTCCAAGTCTCTTAGTTTACATTTTTGAGTGAAAGACAGGGATAGATAGTCTGGTTGGCCTAATTTTCACCCCTGGCATTAGTGTACTGGAGCTGGCTTGTGAAAGCCTATTGTGTAACATCTCTTCCCAATTCCACATTTAGCTCCATCATGTTGGAGGCATGAAATCCTCTATTGGAGTAGTTACACCATGGAAATTGGCAAACACTACAACTCAGGGCCCCCTTTTTTGGAGAGCTTGTAGTTAAACATTCACCTGCATACCAGTTGTCCTCAGGTGGCCAGGTAACTGTAGGCAGACCTTTCCAAGTTGTGGAAAGGGAAGTTCTTTATTTTTTTCAGGGAAGTTCTTTAAGAAGGGGATGTGGGTGAAGTGGAAAGGATCAACATATGTAGCAGAGGAGGGGAACAAGAGTAGAAAGCAGTGATGTTTCTAGGAGACCATTAACAGGTAAAGTGAAGTAGGACTGAGAACAGACAGTTGGTGCTTAGGTTGTTAGTGAAATCGTCTTCATAGAGCAGTGAAAGTGGAAATTGAGGAGAAAGACATTAGTAAGAAGTGGGATTGTGGATTACAAACAAAACAACTTTAAGGTGGTTAAAGGAGATTTTTTAAGATTGGGAGGCATCTGCTGTTTCAAGAAGATAGAAATTGAAGATGGGTAGAGATAGTAATGGAGGGAGCTGGATCCTAGAGAAAAGAGAACATGGAGGTGTTAATTGGAAAGAAATATGGTATCCTTTCCTCTTTGAAGGAAGGGAGGATAAGTGAAACAGGGAAAAGAAAGCCACTTATTCTCTTCCCTCTCCCCCTTCGGTATAAGTCTTTCTTTACTCTGTAAGCTCCGAATGAACAACTAAAGTCTGGAAAACCAATGCAAGCCTTTTGTGGCACAAGAAGAGTGGGGACTAGCTCAGGGCATATTATGCTTTGGAAAAGTTAATACATATGCCTAACCCAGTGGAGTAAATTAAGGATGTTGATTAGTTACACCTGTGTCCTTTATTTAATTAAATATAAATATATTAAGTTTAAGGTTGGGTGCATATATTTAAATCTTTGTAACTTAATATGTGTTATTAAGGTATTTGCACCATAATGCTTTTATGCAGAAAAATACCCTTACACAGCTGAAAATTAATCTGTAACTATCACAGTCTCCTTTAGAAATTTCAACATTTGTTTTATTGTTACTGGATTTTTGTTTGTTTGTTTTTGTAACATTGGATCAGCTTTAATTATTTTATTGCAGGAAACAGTTGGAAAGTTTTTCCAAGCGGACATAGCAGAAAATGCTTTGGTAGGTAGCTTTTTAACACATTATTGGTTTTTGGTCTCCTGGTTTGATTTTTAGTTCTTTGTTTCTTTATTTTTATTTCCTTTGAGATGAAAATAACTCTTTTTTTCTGATTATAAATAATAACACAAAAAAGAACTAAATAATACAGGAACTATAAAGGAAAAAAGGAAAAAAATCACCCTAGATCCATCACTCAGAGGCATCTACTGGTGACATTTTGGTCTCCGTCTTTGTAGATGTTTAACTGTCCCCAGTACAGTTTTATACAAACAATATTATGCTAACATACTATGTTTTCACAGACTATCATTCTTTTATATCAGTGAATGACATACACATACTGTCTTTTAAATTGGCTATATAGTATTCCAATATATGAATATTCCATGGTTTATTTAGCTAAATTTGTATTGTAGTACAGTTATATTTCTAGTTTCTTAATAACCAACACTGTGATGAACGTAATCATATAAAGCAACTTGTGTGTTTTATTTGTTTTCTCCCTGGCAATAAATTCCTAGTAATAGAATTTATGGATTCCAGATAGACCTTAGGAAGATTGAATAACCATTTAAGAGTACTTTAAATGAAAGTACTCTTTTCTCCTCTTTGGCAACATTGGTCCAGTTGTTTTGTCTTTGTCAATCTGATAGACAGAAAGTAGAATCTTGTTATTTTTATTTGCGTTTCTTTGATGACTAGTACAACCAAATCACTGTTGATGTCTTTTGGCTACTGATATTTGGCTATTAGTATTTTTTAATTTGTAAATTTTATAATTTTGTGATGTGTCTGTACCTGTCCTTTATCTGCTTTACTCTTGACATGTTTTTATCCTAAGTGGTTTTTATTCTAGCTTATTTTTTAGGGATATTAATCGTTCATTATATATGTCATAAATATTTCCCCAAGTGTGTTGTTTACATTTTTTATTGCTTTTTAGAAGTTTTTGATTCGTTTATCATCAAATATATCAGTCTTTTCCTTTTTAGTTTCTGCCTTTTGAGTCATGTTTACTTATGCATTTTCATCAAAGAGTATAAAATGTTCACCAATATTTTCATGTAGTACTTCTGTGGCTTCAGTTATTCCACTTAAACTTTTAGCTTTCTGAGATTTGTTTTGGTGTGAGATAAGTGTCCTATTTATGTTTTGCCAACCAGCTAACCATTTTTTTGACTGGTCTTAAGTGTAATTTAAGAAATATTTTTTGAGTGCCTTCTTTGTAGCTCCCTTATTTCCCCCAGAAGGGATAGAAACTGACAAGAAATATAAAATGACTTAGGTTTAACAAACAGTGATTGTATTAATTGAGATTTTATAAATGTGTTTTTGAACTTCTATTTTTTAACCATTAGAAAAATACCTTAGAAACGGAAATTCCTACTGTCACTGTTTTAGCTGATGAAGAATTCCTTCCTTTCAGAGAAAATACATTTGACCTGGTGGTTAGCAGTTTAAGGTTGGTAATCCATTTGTACTTTTAAAAAATAGATGTTATAAGTAAAATAGATACGAGAGTAAATTCTTAATGCCTTTTATTTTTAAAGTCACAAACCTGGTTTTCTTTGTTTATAAACTGTATGATTTCTCTGGTAAAGGATTGTGGATATCGGCTCCCTAGTGGAGATAATATGATACAGTACCTCAACTTTCATAAACTCACTAGAGGCCCAGTGCATGGGTTCATGCACAGGTGGGGTCCCTTGGCCTGGCCTGTGGGGATTGGGTGATGCACCCCGGAATTGGACTCCCTCCTCACTGGTTCTGTGTTCATCATCCGAGAACTGCAGCTGCCAAGTCACCGCAGCTCAACAGCTCCTGCTGTGAGTGTCTGCCCCCTGGATTGTTGTGTGTCATAACTACTGGTTGGACAGTCGCTTAGCCTTTTATATATATAGATTCTGGTAAATAAGGAAAAGCTAGCATTTCCTTCTATTTTAATTCTTTTTCTACATAGAAATATAGTCCTCAGGATTACTTTTCCCCTTTGTTCTTTCTACCATGACTTTCCACACTTACTACACAAACATATATTATAAATATTTATTGAATCCTATCTAATAAAGCAGAAATATGCGAATTGACCCTCACACCATCACAAAGATGGCGGCGCCCACAGCCAATAAGGAGGTAATATGCTAATTGACTGCAACGCCCTCAAAGATGGCCCACAGCCACAGGATGGCGGCACCCAGTCCCCTCAGCCCTGCCGGGGCAGCAGGCATGCAGCAAGGCCGGGCCTGCCTGCCTCTGGAGTCCCCCAGTCCCCTCAGCCCCCCAACCACCCAGGGCTGGCCTCAGGTGCAGGCAAGCCTTGGATGGTGGCTGCCCAGCTGCCCAGGGCCACCTGAGGCTCAGGTAACCAGGG